CATCTTCTGCAGTATTCAGGATTACTCAATACATGTTTTGTTGTATCTTCTGCAGTATTCAGGATTACTCAATACATGTTTTGTTGTATCCTCTGCAGTATCCAGGATTACTCAATACATGTTTTGTTGTATCTTCTGCAGTATTCAGGATTATGCATTCGCCATGTACGAATGATTTGTCAATTGAAAATACAGGCACATACATGTATAAGTAATATAATGAATGACTATAGATAATGAACTAATTCTGAAGAATTTATATTTTTCATCCTTCTCAGTATTCTGTTTTTGTTTTGTTTTTATACTAGAAGTTAGAAGTCAATAAGGAAGCCAAGGATCAGATTGAGTTTGATGAACTTCCTGTCAGTGCAGTGTCTGCTGGGGGCAGAATAAAAACATTTGAAGAACTCCTGGAGGAACAACTACAGTTAGAATCACAGGTAAGAAAAATGACAGTTTCAGATGAGAAGTGGGTGGGTGGGAGGTCTCAAGATTAATGTGGTTTGGCTTTCACATATCAAAGCCGCATCATTTTTTGCATTTTTTTTTTCAAAAATGTTAACAAGCCCTGCAGCCAATAAAAATTATTAGGTTCAAAATTAACAAAGAAATTATAGAAAAATACATACAAATTTGCAATATTATCATATAACTTTTGGTAGAAAAAAATATTGCACTCATTTTAATAATTAGTAATGAAATTAGTATTGACAAATGAAAAGAAAACATGGATGGCATGACATTTTGTCATATTGAGTGAGCCCCCAAAGTAACTAATTTGTAAAACACGTTTGTTTTTGTAGTAAATCAAATGCAAACATTGAATGTCAAACTGCTAGTTGCTATATATCCCAAAAACATAGGAATTATCGTTGGTAATGGTGACGACCATCAAAAACAACTGTGGGGTTGAACTGTGAAAATTAAATGCTAAATACTGTAAAATACTTTCGCTGAAAAGACTTTTTGGTGTTTTGTATAGAATTCATTTTCACTGATTTTTGACGAGTTGAATGTAAAATATAGGGAAAAAAGTTTATTCGCTGGATTTTATTTTCACTGAATCATTCCTTCAGCAAAAATAGCAAAAATTAGTTCTAAGCGAAAATAGCAAAAATTAGTTCTAAGTGAAAATAAGGTATTTTACAGTATTTGTTATCATAAATGTTAAGAGAAAAGGTCTGTCAATTCCTCTCACATGAGAATGAGAAATTAAAACACTTCTACTCCTCTCAAATAAAAACAATAAAAACTTGCACCCAATTATTTTCAGAAACTTGAGGTAACGAAATGGGCCAATAATCAATTAACTGGGTGTTTTTCTCTTGTAGAGTAAAGACATCAAATCTGTAGACACTCAATCAAAAAAACCATTTCTTAGAAAAGGACAAGGTATAGGTCGATTCGGCCTTGCAGGAAAGAAATCCAAAATATCTTCACAAAATTTATCAACTGCCAAAGTTCAAGACGCTGTTGTCAAACAAGATACTGCTGAAAAGAAATCAACTGCCAAGTTTGATCATGATCTGCATAAAAAGGGAAATGGATCCACTGATCAACCAACATCACTGCCAAAAAAGATGAAAGATTCACAGAGTACATCACCAAAGGTGAGATTAATATTTCACTGCATTAAAATCTCACTTGCAGAGAAAATCAAGTTTTAAAAAGGGTTTGAAATAGAACGCCTTCTTGCATTTCAATGTACCTAATTGTTTCTTGTTGAGAGATAAATGGAGGGAAGGTCAGGGTCAAAGGTCACATGTTCAACTTTTTATAACCTTTGGTCTACAAGACTGCTGCTATCCTATTTGAAGAGTTTTGATTCATGCTATTGTTCTTTCATGCCATTGCATTCTGTCTCATCTGTTCATTCACACCGATGTGTACAATGTTGTGATTTCACACTAAAAAAGGCTACACACACACATGTTCAGTCAAGCCTGGCTGACTTTGAGTTCTCAGAGTTATTTAAGAAGGGATGTGTTGAAAATCAATCTTTTAATCTTCAGTTTCTGAAGGAGGAGGAGGGTTGCACATCTGTTTCATTGAAGGAGTCATGTTTGTACATTACCCTCTGACCTGGCTGTAGGACAGTCTTGTTTTTTCTCCTGTACCTGACGTACTATTTGCGATTTATAGAACAAATGCAGATTATTGATTGCATGTTGATATTCGGTAATTCTACATCAGTGGCAGCTTTATAGGAAAACAAACTTCCATGATTTTGCATGTCAGCATAGGTAAAAATGTTACTGAGATTGGAAGTCACAGTGGCTTTCATAAAATTAAGTTTAACCCAAGCAACATGCTTCGTATAGATAAAATTCAGTTCACTTTTTCAATTGTGTTAACTATTACCGTATTTGCTCTATTACAAATATATGTAAGTAGGGGAGAATAGGAAATCAAACCAGTGGTGCAGCATGGTCACCAGTTCTAAGGCAAATTAAATAAATTCAGCTACACCAGAAGCTTGGAAACTACCGGTACCCGGTACTCTATATTTGAGTCCCGGAATGACATCGTTAAGTGATCCAGAAAGACATAGAGATCAATATAATGGGTTTTCATCGGCGCTCTACACAGAGCTGCTCCTGCTCTTCCTTTACATCAATTACAGAAGTGTTTTTGAGGTCAAAATATGTAATATTTTAATAATTTAGTATACAATATGCACTTGTATTGTAGATGCTCTTGTATTGGTACTTACCTCCCAAATTATATAGCATTACACTGC